CGCGCGTCCACAAGCTTGGTTGAGCACCAATGACGGGACGGGCGGGGGTATCGGCCCCGTGCCAACCCAGCAAAAAGGTTCCCCCGACATGGCCCGCACGGCGATTGGTTGAGGCACGTGACACCGGTCCCTCAACGGTTTACGGTTTCGCCGATGTCTGCAAGCCTTTCGTGCCAGCTACCCGGCAGCTCGGGACTGAGACTACATCAATGTCTTTTCCATGAGGGAATAATAGTACTGCTTTACTGTGGTTCTTGCTAAGTCCTTCTTTCCATTTATCTCTCTCACTCGCGTCTTTTTTTTTTCTTATAGGGGGGTCCTCCATCATACTTTCACCATTTGCGCTGTAGGAAGTTGTATTCGATGAAAAAAAATGCTCATACCACTCTCCGTTAATAGTAGGCAAAAGCAGGTCTAGGAGTGATGTCGCCACGATTCAAAGTACAGATTCAAACTTTATCGCCGAAAGTCTCCGCTACAGCCCAGACATCTATTTTTAGCATACACCCAGTTCCCTACAAAAAATACGACTTCAACTCATTTACTTGCACCCACTAGAAGCAAGGGTGAAGATTCCGCCCAAAATACCATCAAGAGCACCAGCCATGGCACCGCCGACCTTGGTACTATTGTTACAGACACCACTGCCTACATCAGGGACGTGTACATTCATGTCGGCCTTCTGATCGCCGCCCTTGCCCTCGACGCGGACCACAATCATGTCAGTAAGGTGGTACTGGTCAACGTGCTCAGTTTTGCCGGATGTGACCATGTTCAAGTCAGTATGTGTTTTCCCTTTCCGTATCAGGAAAACAAGGGCCTGGGCAAACTCACAATCGCAGGGAGTTGGACGGGCCGTGCTATTCGTGCTACCAACCCTAACTATTCGTGCTAATGCCCCACCTTGATTTTAGGCCTACACCCTAACCTACCACGCCCCGCCATATAATTTCACATACATTGCCCTGGCAATAAGGGAGTTATCACGAAATACGATTCAAGACGCAACGACGACGAAGACTCATAATACGGTCGCGGGCGCGGTCAGGAAACGCTGCAAATCGCACATATACTCGATCAACAGGTAGACAAGCCACGGAGCAAGCAGCAGTATTAGAGTCGGCGGAAATTGAGGAAATTATCCCTCAAACACAGCCAGAAGAGCCGCAGCTTCGATGGATAACCCCTTGGGAGCCCGGGCAGCGCCCACGGCGGCAGCGGAATATTTGACGGCCCGTGAATGTGTACACATTCATCAAAAACACCGGAAATCGCGTTTTTAAGCGATTTGTGCCCTGCCGGTACTCGCCTGAGCTCGTGTTATTAAAAAATGAATTGAATTACCGATTGAATTTTTGAAAAGCGGGCGCGACCATGTGGGTGTATGTGAAAATGTATGGTGGGGTGTGGGCAGTTAGCCACTAGGCCAAATCGAGCGGTAGTAGCACGAATAGCTAGGGTTGGTAGCACGAATAGCACGACCCCTTTTTTCCGCATATTTGGCCAGTTTTAGTAATCCCGTCCCCTTCACAATGTGGGCAGCCTGAACCAGCCATAACTGATGAAAGCTTCCTCCTAGAGGGGGTCTATTAGATATGTCTTCGCATTTGGTGACCAGATTTCTGACTTACAAGGATGCCTAATTTCGTGTGTCCAAATTTATTCAACTGTTGGGCCCGCTGCGTCTTTTTTTTTTTTTTTTCGTAGGGGTTGCTTCCCATTTAAATGACACAGATGTCGCCACCGAGAAACCCGCTTGTCAACCAACGTTCAACAGCGCCAACACACAGCCTATTGCCATGGCACCCCCAGGCTTCGACGATGTTTCAATATTCAACGAGGCAGAGGTGTCCTCGGTCATCTCCGCAAAAGATGCACCTCATTTCTTTGAGAAATATGGTGTGTTCTACCAAGAGAACGCGGAAATCGGGCAATGAGCCAGCTCATTGGCCGGGAAGGCACTCTCTAATGATGTTCTCAACGATTTGAAACCCATCCTTCAAAAAGACGACGTGAGTACTCTCGTAGAAAAGGGTTTATTGTGCTACTATTGACGCCGTTCAGCGTCTTCAATCCATTGTCGCACCATATCTCGAGCACGGGCCGTCCTTTTGCTTTACTCTCGGTTCGGACAAGGGGAACGTTTACGCTCTCACCACGATCCAAGATCTACATCCGAAAATAATATATATATGTATGGATGCCCGGAGCGCAACTCGAATTCTCGCATGGGTCACACATAGGTACAGTGAGAGGGGTGCCAGAGTCCCTCATCCTCATGACGTCTGCCACGTCGTGCTCCCGCAGAAAGTGGTTCGTATGGCCCAGGTAGCCGTCGCTCACATCCGCGCGGGTCGACTTGCTGGCGCCGAATTCGAGCGAGGTCGCCCCCCCGTCAGCAACGAGAATGTGCGATGCCGCCGCCACCCCGTGGGCTTCCAAAAACGCGACGGCCTCGGCGCGACCGAGTCTCCAGTGCGCTCCGGAGGGCGACATGGACCGGCAGCGCGCTGAAGTCGACGCTCCTGGCAAAGATGGCGTTGAAAAACACGACAACGCCGGCGCTGTTGAGGCCCGTCTTGGCGACGATGCCGGCCTCGGTGACGGTGCCGATGGCGGGCTTGGACGCGCCCGACGGCCGTATGTGGAGGATGACCAGTCTCTCTTTTTGAGCGTCCATCCACTGCTGCGTGGTTAATTGTGCCGTTCATCGTGGCTCAAGTTGTTGGCTTGGGGGAGGCGCTTACATCCCAGTTTTGCCCAGCTACACTCTTGGTGCTTGGTATATATATATCTTACATTTCTTCAACGACATGGGGAACCGCCCGTTGTAGGAACGGCAAAAATTTTGCTGCAGTGCCCGTTGAACAAAAGACAAAAGATTTTCGACACCAATTAGTTCGACCCTATCTTGTTACTGGGGAGAAAGTGGCAGGAAATGGAACACGACGGCATGTTGTGGCAACTCATAGGGGGCTCGCTGGATGAGCCCCCCCCCCCCTTTTTTCTCCCTTTTCCGGGCCAGAATAAGGCGATTCATTCACAAATACCAGTCGGGGAATCGGGCTCCGCAAGTTCCGTTTTGCCGGCCTAGGCTTCCTTGCTTGCCTACACCTGCAAAGTTGTGGTAGCTCGGTCAATGACAGACATCGAACTGGTACATATACACTACACAACTTGAACTGTGAGCCTTGGCAATCAGGATGCAAAGGTCAGAGGGAACCAGCAGCACATACGGTTTAGATTGAGAGACGCTAGACTATTTACCGGAATAGATACCCGCAAACAAGATTGCATCCGGCTTGTCACTGGCAATGGCAAAGACAAACGGCCTGTTGAAGACCAAAGACTTGGGGTCAAGATTCAGGCTTCGAGTCATGATCACCGCCGTCGCGGCCGAGGCCTCTGTCCCCTCCACATCAACCTTGACATAGGCTTGGTGGGCTATGGTTTGCACCTGGTTCTGGCCCTCTGCCATGTCTGTATATGCCCCTCCAATGGGATAGTCGAGCTTCTCGAGAGTATCAACCAGAGAGAATTTGCTGTCAATCTCAAACTTGGGGAACCCAAACTCGTCATATTTTACCGAGGTGAACTGGTCGCCAGAGCTGCCATTCTTAACTATGTCATCCAAAACGGCGCTGAGTGATGTTCCTTCGTTGGGCAGATAGGCGAAGAGCGAGGTTGATGGGTAGGATTCCGGCAGTGTGTACGGCAAACGAACGGCTTTGTATGTTGACGTCTCCAATGATGAGAGGTGTTGTCTGCGCAGATACATCATGTCTACCTCGGTCTGTTTATCCTTGGTGACGGAAAAGGCCTCTTTGCGAGTGTCGCGCGGTTCAAATTTTGTCTGCCACGTCCCCTTGAATCCGATGGCACTCACCAGTGCCAAATGGCTGTTGGTCAGGGTCGCTGGAGACAACATGTCTCGGATCAAGCCACGCGTATTGTCTGAGATCCACGCATTTATGTTTGAGGCAGCCTCGGCAAGGTTTGGATACTGTGCATGTTCCGCGTTGAAGCCCTTTAAGAAATTCTGGTAAGCGGGATAGAGGGTGACACTTTGATCTGTAAAGATGGCATTTGCGAGAGCCAGCGGACCGTCCTTGGCATCATTGCAAAGGGCCGTATGCAACGGGTGAAGGACCGACTCTAGCTCGCCCGCGCTCTGGAGACCAAGTTTCGTGCACAAGCCGAGTTTCTTGGCCTCGTCTGCTCCGCCAGCAAGCATTCCCAGTGCCATGGTGATGGATAGCGGTGATAGTATGACGGTCTCGGGAGCGCTGTCGTGGCCACACTGCTTCATGAGCAAGTCCCAGCCAACACGGCCGACTGACTGAAGGGATGGCGCCATGATGATGATGATGTTGATGATTCGGAGGCTTCTCGAAATGGATTTTTGACGGTTTCAAAACCCAGGTGATGTCTGAAGAATGTGTTTGCGATGAAAGCTGAGAATGTTGAAAGGCAGAATGGGCATTGCGATTTCATATGGATGAAACGAAGTTAGTTGGCATAGAAGCATCATGACACACATGACATCAGGTGCCCCACTCAGTACTGCACCTGCCGTCAAGGGACATGGAACGCTTGGATTTTCATTATTGATGCCTACTAAGTAGACGGGTGTTTGAACATCCGTCAAGGCAACTCATCACTTGCCGAATTGGTCGAAAACTGACAATGGCATGGTTCACGGAAGCAGACTACGCCTCGTTGCCCATGTTCCGGCCTAGCTGGCCAGGCTTCCTTGTGAATGCGACAGGCAGCCATGGTCAACTTGATCAGCATGAATATAGAATGGACTAGTGAGCGGACAGCATTAATGACGCCTGGGAAGGAACCAGGACGTCTAACAACAAAGTTGACCCCAATAATCGTCAAGCCTAGGCTGGACGAGCGTCTTGACAAGACCGGCATCATACGTAATATGGTGACGCCTTTTTTTTTCTTGCCTTCTTTTGCCACTCTTTTGGCGGCTCATTCATGAAATTATGGTGAGACTGGGTCGCATATTACTCCAATACACGGTCCTTGTTAAAAGCGGCCTTGTCTTCCTTTTTGACACCCACGGGAGAGGCACATCACAGCCGGTGAGACAAGTTTGAATGCGCCAACGAGGCGAGCTTCCTTTCTTCTCTTGTTTTAGCCTTGGGACATGACCTTCAGCTAGCCACGACGCGAGTGCACAAGCTCGCCGTGTTACCCGTGGCTTCGCTCAACGTCTATGCTTGTCTCACTCACTGACAAGACTTTGCCAGTAACATCCTTCGTCTTCCGGCCAGAACAATCAACGCCTTCACCGAGCCGGCGGGCATTATTGCAGAAGTGGCTAAATGTTTCAGTCATTCGAGTAACGTGACGACCAGTCGCCATCTCCTCCACGTAGAATGTAAACCACCAGCGATGTTCCGAGAGACAACCAAGCCGTGCAATGTTTCGCCACGGAGCCGCCATAGAGCGCCATTTCTCCAGATAAGTCAGATACCGGCCTTCAAAAAGCATGGAAAGTGCGTACATTGCCAATCTTGGACTACCAGTGTCGCTGCTGCGTCTGAAAAGACCGGCACAAGGGGCTTCTCAGCGGTCCAGAAACCCGAGAGTCCGAGACACGGGCAAACAGCAGCGCAAGTATTTCTACACAATTTTCAGCCATGGCGGAACTGGTGCTACCTCGATTATTGGCCCTGTCTCAGAACATTACTACAACGTGCTGCAAACGGTTGAGACAGCCATTTGCCACCCGCAGATGACTTGACGGGATACACTCACGAATCCTTATAAATGAACCATTGCGTTCGCTTCTCAAAGTATGCTATGTTTGTATACCACACCGAAACCCAGCTCCAAAGACAGAAATCTCACTTGATCAATATGAAGTTCATCTCAACCCTTCTGACCGTGCTCGTCAGCTCTGGCTTTGCCGGCACTGCAGCAGCAGCGGATAGCGTGAGTGACGGCCCTAGATATTCGCAAGGAGCTGTATTAAGGAAACTAGTGCGCATCTGCGTGCGACTGCCTCGAGCAATTCTGCTGCAACAGCGGGCCGTCTTCGCAGTGCTCCAACTTTGAAATCCCGGTATGCCGAGTTCAGAGGAGCGACACCAGCAGAGACTAACACCGAAAATAGGGCCAGGACTGCGAGGTTTGTTGAGGTCTATACTGCGCCAGATGTGGCTACCGGCGGACAATGTCGGCCAAAGGGGTGTACTCGAGGGTGACGCTGCCTCTGTTGCTCGTCATGTCGTTCATGTCGTCAGGACATGGCGATTCAGCGGCCTCCCCAGCAGCCGACTTGCTATTAACCGACGTAAATAGTACGTAGCTTGGAGACAAATACCAGCGGGCTGCTATGTTCGGTCAACGTTTTGCCAACGACTTCAACTTCAGTGATGCATAAGAACAGGCAGCAATAGTCTGCAAGTGCAGCCCATATGCCATGGCTCTACCAATTCAGGAGTGAAATTTTCCACGTCAATTATAAATTACCAATTACTCCAGCTTGAATATCTAAGCGGCGCCAACAGAAAAGGTATTTGCGCAACTCGCACCCGTTGTCACGTCATGCCCACGTCTACCGTAACAAACCTCCAGTCCAATGGATGCGCCCAAACAATTCCAATATCCCAAAAACACGTCAAGCAGCAATCGCGTGCGCCCCCGTCCCTTGTGACCCTCCCACTAGGGATGAAGAGTCATCCTGCGCAACGACACCCAGCAGATGGCAATCTGCGTCAACCTAACAGCAGCACATTAGCCAGAGCAAAAAACACCACGCAACAAAGGGCCGGCACTCACGTCGCAGCACAGCCGAGACCCAGCCCAGCGGCCGTCAGCCCGACGACCACATCGCCCGTCGAGTTCTCCTCGTCCGGATCCGACGCGTACGTAAAGCTCGAGCCGCCGTCGGCCCACCAGCTCCTGAACAAGCCGAGGCAAATCACGGCCACGACCCAGCCAATGGTGATGACGATGCCAATGGCCATGCGGAAGTGCGACCGGAAGTTCAAGTACTCGTATTTGCTGAGCGAGAAGCCAAACTGCACCAGCGACCAGAGGATCGTCGCCGCCGCCTTGGGGTGGGAGCGCCGCCGAGTTAGCCTCTTTCCCTTGTTTTTCGCGTAGAGATGAACTCACCGGAGGGCCGAGGATGCCTATCAGTATGACGCCCGACTTGGAGGTGGCCACGCCGCCGACGACCAGGATGGCGATGCACAGGACGACGGACAAGATGCGCAGCATCAGGTCCATGTTGCGGAAGCCGCAGAGCCCAATGATGGGAGAGGACGGCTCGGCAAACGCCTTTGGTTTGGATGCCATTGTGAGCGAGGCTGTTTGCAACGGTCTGCGTAAACGAGCGGTGGGAGTTGATTGCAGCCGTCAAAAGTCGGCGTTGCCTGGATGGGGCGTTTGTTTTGGCTTTTGTACACTTTTGCAAAGCTTTCGGGATAAAAGATGTAGTCAAGAGCCGACCTCGGCAGAAAAGAATGCTGATTGATGACCAGGTCGGCAATTCCAGGCCAAGTCATCTATGGTACGTCGGTGAGTACGGTGTGGCCGCGGGCTGGACGAGCAAGGACGAGGTAGGGGCAGACAGACAGACGATTGGCACCAGTCGACATTTATTATTTACATCATCAACTGATGCCATTGACTGATTTTTTTGCTCCATCGGGACGTGGAATTCGGGCGCTCGGTCCGCCAGGCCAAGGCGGCGTGCTTTGTCGATCCGCGCGCCGACGCCACGGCTGTTCCGTCCAGCGACAGGAGCCCGGCAGTGTCATGTGCCGACAACAGGTTTTCCGTCCGAGTCCCTGCCGTCGTGCCTTTTTATTCGCCGTCGGCGTCGCAGCCCTATCTTGGTGGCCTGCCTCCATGAAGTCTTGGGGATCGTCGCGGTGCTAGCCGCCTTTGGCGACGAGAAGCACACTTGGTTTAGCAACTTTATCCGTTTGTGGACACCTTGGTGCTGCCAGCATTCCGCAGCAGATGCGACGTCACCATGATTTTAATCTTTCTTTGCAATCTGACATGTGACAGCAGCTGACTCGCCAGCTCAGGGGGGGGCCAACACACGCTTCGACAGCACAGACTGACGAATCCCAAAAATAAACGGCATCGGAAATAATTTCTTTCCATCCTTCTGTACGCTATATATAAAAAGAAAAACCCCCGTTCTAAATAGTAGCGCCGCATCCCGCCCGCCCAACATGCCATCTCAACTCTACCAAGCAATCTTAGCCACCGGGCCGTTGGGGAACAGTCTAACAAGCAGTTTTCTAATCTCGTCCATGCAAAGAATACCCACGGCCAAAGGAAGGGGGAGAAGCCAAAACTCAATGGGAACGCTTGCTGTGCCAAACAACGACTGAATGCCGGGGACTTCGGTAACGAAAATCGCAATGGCCAGAGAAATCGCCATGCTCAGAATGAGCCAAGGGTTGCGCCTCTTCTCCGTGATGGGGTCGGCCTGCACGATGCTCAGCCGGCGATTGCGCACCGCCAGAATGTTCCCCCACTGCAGGATGACCAAGGTGACAAAGTAGACGCTCTGGCCGACGGCGTTGAAATGCGTCAGCTGATCCTCCGTGTAGCCGTAGAATCCGTCCGTGTACCTCTCAAAGGCAAAGAACAGGCTGCTGATGGGGATGCCCGCCTCCTTCCAGTAGTACAGGAAGAACATGGCGTGGGCCGTGACGGTCTCCATGAAGCCCGTGAAGAGGTAGGCCTGGAGGTAGATCTTGAGAGTGATGAGGTGGTCCCTCTTGTGGTTTCGGGGCGGCAGAGACAGCAGGTCAAACTCCTCGCGCTCCATGATGAGGGACAGCGAGAGGAAAAGGTCGGTGAAGACGCAGATGATGATCATGAGGAACGAGCTCAGCGGGAGAGGCACGCCGAAGAAGACGTTGACCAAGACGGGCCAGATTTCCGACCACGACCCGGCGGGGAGCAGGTACGCAATCACTTTTTGGAGATTCTGGAACACCAGTCTGCCCCAGCGAATGGCCTCGATGATGGAGTCGAATCTGTCGAGCAGCACCAGGTCGGCCGCCTCGATGGCAACATCGCTGCCCGTGACAATGGCGACGCCAACATCGGCCGCCCGGAGAGCAGGGGCGTCGTTGACACCGTCGCCCGTGACGGCAACGACATTGTCGCGCTTGCGGAACTCTTCGACGATTCGCAGCTTCTGCTCCGGCGTGGTTCTGGCAAAGATGATTTCTCCGTACTCGCAAATCATGTCCCAGTCTTCTGGCCCCAGATTGCCCAGATCCTGACCCTCGAGCAGCAGGCTGTGTCGCTCGCCAGACTTCCGAGCATCAGCGAGCTCCGCGGCGGACATCACCTTGTCGCTTTTGATGGTCTTGATGGTGTCGGGGTCGCGCTCGCTGCTGAAAATACCAGTGTTGCGGGCAATAGCGGCGGCAGTCAGGCCATAGTCGCCGGTGACCATGAAGAATCTGGCGCCGGCACGTCTGCATTCTGCAACTGTGTGTGCGGTTTCGGGTCGAGCGGGATCGATGATGCCGAGAATTCCAACAATGGTGAGATGCTCGGTGGCACCAAGAGCAACCTCGTCACTGAAGGCATTGGTGCCCACAGCATTCTTTGCAGTAAACGTCTTCTCGCAAAGAACAATGACACGTTCCGCGTTGCGAGAGAGCTTGTCCTGGTAGGTTTTGAAGGCGGACCGCGCAGTCTCGTCCATGGGCTGAACCGTGTTTGTCTTCCTGGACCAGTACTTGGTGCAAGTTGGCAACAGAACATCCGGCGCGCCCTTTACGAAAACTTGGTATTCGTTCAACGAGGCATCGCTGTCTGCCTCCTTGCGGTGCAACGTGAGCATCCACTTGTTCTTGGAGTTGAAGGCGATCTGAAACAGACGAGGCACAATGGCCGTGCCAAAGTCGCCGCCCTTGGCGGTGGCTGCAAGCCGGAGAACAGCGGCATCGGTGGCATTTCCTTGGACCTCGCGGCTGAAAACGGGCAAATTCATGGTTGTAGGGTCGAATGTAGCATCGTTACAATGAGATGCAGCTGCAAGAAGTCGGGTAGAGCTTGCCTCAGCCTTCTCGCTGTTGCCGGCGCGGTAGAATTCGTCGAGCTCGATCGGTCCGTCGATAAACGATGCCGAGTTGACATGCATTTGGTTTTGGGTCAGGGTGCCAGTCTTATCTGAGCAGATGACATTGACACATCCCAGGGTTTCAACCGTAGAAAGACCCTTTGGTAGGATATTGACCACCTTCATCTTCCTCGCCACCATCATCAGAGTCAGAGCAACGGCCACGGGCATGCCTTCGGGAATAAAGGCCACCACGCAGCTCATGACATTGTTCAGCATGGCAACGACATTCATAAAGCCATAGTGGTCCCGACGCAGCCAGCCGAGCCAGGTGAAGAGAATCAAAAGCGCCAGGCAAATAGTCAGTGCGACAATGATGTAGACAAAGCGCCAAATTTCCTTCTGAATCAGAGTAGCACGTTCTTCGGTAGAAGCGGTGGCCTTGGCAATACGACCCATGACGGATCGAGGACCTGTCAAGACGACGACGCCGACACCGCTGCCGTTCACGACCAGCGTGCCCATGAGAGCAATGTTGCGGCTCTCCAAGAAGTTTTGGTCCGTCATGTCAACGGCACCCTCCACCTCGTCGGATTCGCCAGTGAGAACCGCACGGTCGAATCGAATATCTCCAGAGTGGCTGATGAGACGCATGTCGGCAGGCACCTTGTTGCCGATTTTGAGATGAACGACATCTCCACTAACAAGTTGCGTGGCCGGCATTTTTTTCAACTGCCCATCCCTCATGACCAGCGCTTCTGCTGGCAGCAGGTCGGTGATGGACTTCATGGTTCTCGATGTCGACCAGTCTTGGAAGGCAGAGAAACCAGCCTGAAGCATAATGACCAGTATAACCAGGATAGCAAGGGCAAGATTAGTAGGGGACGGGGGGTTACTCAGGGGCCTCCAGCAGATGAAGAAGACAATGACGCCAACCCAGAGAACGGAACAGAAGCCGCCAAAGACGTACATCAAGATCTTCTTGAGATAGTTAGTCTTTGGCTTTGGCAGGGTATTGCCGCCATCTCGCTGGAGTCTGTTGGCAGCGGAGCTCTCAGAAAGACCTGACGATTCGGAAACATTGAGTTGCTGACACAACTGGTCGGCCTGGAGTCGATGGAAGGTCAAGTTTGCAAAGTAGTCCTCGTCGTCCTTCTTGCTTGATTTGATGTCAGCCGAGGAGTCGCTTTCAACCTTGCGGGACTCGGTGACCTGAATAGAGAGGGTTCGATATGTAATCGGAAGGCCGGAATAGGGAGCCGTGGTGATGCCATCACGGCTCATGGATCTTCGACGGGACAGGGAGCGAGAGTCTCTGCGATTGCCCTGATCTGCAGCTCTCCCCCTAGGGTGGGCTGCATCATCGAAGGCAACGCGAAGGTCGCGGTCAGCTTCCTTTTCGAGTACTTCGCCAGCCGAGCGGGAGGTGTCTTCAGGCATTGTGGGTGATTGCCTCTGCCAGACACAATCACGCAGCAACAATCTTGCGTCTAGAGTATGGGCGAAGGGGAGAAACAAGGGCAAAGATCCAATAACAAGCACAGTAGTATGAAACCGTTCCAGAGCTCTGCAGGGACCTTTTGCTGCGATGCTACTCAACCTGCCACGTTCTTCTCTCTTTGTGATGCAGGAAAGGAGAGACGAAGTCAACACTGCAGAGTACGTGGCACAACAGGTTCCTCAAATAGCAATGGATTATCACAAGGTACACACGCTGTCTTTAGAATTTGCAACCCGGTTCTGGCCTTATATGGACAAACCGGCCGGCCATGTCTGCTGTACTGGGGGGTGGCCGGCGGTGGTGTTGGTTGCTCTCAGCCATGTGGCCAAGAGAAGGCAATCTTGCACGTTCACGCTCATCAGCGGCTGAGGATTATTCCTCACGCCAATGAGAATCGGGATCCATTCTTTCTAGCTCCCAAAGTGAAGCCATCCGTGTCATCTGCCCCTCGCGTGCGGCGCCCGTCGACGGGCAAACTTCCTCTGGCGGGCATAACAATGTAGAAAGAAGACGAATAACAAATCGCGCATACATACAGGAATTTGACGATATCGAAGCCCAGGTTCTCAGCCACGAGGCGTGTCAGTATGTCACAGGATCGTTGCGTTCATCTTGCCTGAATCGGTAAGGGAAGAAACGTGTCTGCGCCGCTCTCATCAACGGGTGGCTGTTCACCATGTCAGCTTTTGCTCTCCACGGACAAGTCTTGTCATCTCGAGATGAATTTTACTCTGACATGGCCGGAAACTAGGTGTGCTGTGGAGATGGCCAGCGTGAACCTATTGGAACAAGGCTGTGTGTGCGTGTGTGTGCTTTTTTTTTGGAACCCATTCTGTGCCTGCTAATGATTTAATCATTGGAGCTGATCCAAGTTCTGGAACGCTCTGGCTTGGTCGGCTATGCCTGTTGTTGGCCTGTTATTCTGGCAATCGTCCCGTCGGCGGTTTCGCCGTTTGCAGCTATTTGCTTTCAGCTGCGGTCGACTTGCCGCAACCGCAGACATCAATTCTGCTGAAGCCGACGGCATAGAAGATAAAGGAAGAATAGATTCAAAGCTGAGAACTAAATTATCTCGCCAATATTACGTCTTCTGTTGCAGTTCCAATCAGTTGGTCTTGGAGCATTTCGTTGGGGCGGAGCTTCAATCCACTTAGACTTATTGTTCACATGGCCAATGAACTAAATAACAGGTAACCTAAGCCCATCTCCTGTTTCAATATTCTTGGTTCAAAGACGATTTCCCTCAGCAGCTGTTACATTGTTCTCAAGGTGAGTTGTCACACTGCCATATGCATACAACCCATCATCCAGTCTAAGGATTCGCCCCAACCATGTGCAATCACTACACCATCCTGGCAATCGTCTGTATCATGCTGTGTGACAGCCTGATGTCCTTTAATTGCTGCCGGCATTTCCAATAAAAGACATCTCAGTGCCACGCCTTTCGCCATTACCGATCGTAAGCAAGCCAAATTGATCAATCGAGAAATGCAACTTTGGCGGAAAAGGCGCCAGCTCATCATCATCCATCAGCTTCAGCATGTCTCAATACCATCATTCCATGGCCCATTGGCTGACACACTAGCGGTGCCGTTTTCCGATAGCACCCGCCTTCCGTCTTACCAAGTTTTGCCCCGTTCGATATGGTGCTCTGCCATGCCTCTCTCTATCCGCTCACCCCTGCTTCACGGCCTCGACCCGTGAGGGTCCGCGTCGCATTTTGATCGGTCGTTAAACAGGCAGAACGCACCTTTCCTTGGGGGCGAAAAACGCTGTCCCACCGAGCCACAGCAGTCCAATCCAGGAACTATGATCTCACAATGAAGCTTCTGGGGGGTGGGATGCTAGGGCTGGAATCGGTCAAGGTACATATTGGTAAAGCGATCCTTGCATAGTACACCCACTGTACATGTGAAAAATAACTAATGGATGGGAAGCACGATGGCTGCGATTAGGAACAGAGGCCGCGCACTGCCGTGATGAAGAGCAAAGTGTCTTTCCCTGTCTTTCGCGTTATTCCAAAGAAAAAAGAAAATCTTCCCTTGAATTGCCCCATGGATCAGACCTTGAGCAGATTCACCCGCCCATTTCCCTCTTACCGTCTCGAGTCTAGACGGGTCGAGAGAGGCGCCTGGGCCTTGCCACAAAGCTGTCCGCCACAACGGTGGCGATTCATGACGGTGTGATAAATGACATGGACCCTGTAGGCCTGCCACCCCGACGCTTTGGCACAAGTTGAGTTGCTATGGTCGGGTGCTGCCATGTTGTCACAGAGTGCTGCTGCAGGTAGCTAACTATAGCCCCCTAATATCCGGTCCGTTCTCGTGGTCCGCCAGTCGGTGCTCACTGTTGAGCATTCGAATGAGGCGGGTAAGCCCAGAGCTGCAACGACGGAGGAGGATGGTGCTCCTTTAGTTGTTTGTCCAAGACGATATTCTACTGGCGACATCTTTATACCGGTCAACCCTGCTAGTATATTTCTATTGTCTGTCCCACACGCCTCTCTGATACCATTTCTCCGTCCATCATGCCATGAAAGTAACTCTCACCGACAAGCTGCCACGTCCCATCTTCCAAGTCGCTCACACCATCATCCGCAGTCCGTTGACGCCGGAGCAAAAAGGGCACCTGCGCGCCGGGAATGATGAAGACCGCATCACCAACTTTGGAGTACGGTGGTATCATCCCCATGTATCCTCGCTCTGTAGTAGCGAACATGCGTTCTCGTGTGTGCGGTCCCGCAACGTTGGCGAATCTACCACTGTCCAAGGCGTAGTATGTCATGTCACTACCGAGCCTCTCTTGCTCCTCAGCACTGAGGCTTGCTTTCAGTGGGTTCATGTCTGGTCCACACTTGAACAGCGTCTTGATGAATCCTTCGACTGCTTGATAATACGTGGAGAAAATCGGGTCCGCGGGCCGAGTGCCGCTTGGTGTTCTATCGCCAAGAAGTGTCCTCCAAAAAGCTTCAGTGAGAGAAATGCCAGTAACATAGGGCTCGCTGAGCGATCCGTTCAAGGCTACCTCTCGACTATCAGCAAGGTTCTTGAAGCTTCCTGGAAACTTCTCCGTCTTGACAACCCCATTCTTAGATACACCGAAAAATTGAGGGCCCAACTCCTTGATGCAGTCCACTTGGACACCCTCAGTAATGAGAGCAAGCCCGTCGTCACCCAACATCATCTTCAATTCTTCATCAGCAACACCTGATGCACAGTACGAGTTCGAGGTGGGATGGCGCCACAACATTCCTGCCAATCGCTTGCTACTCCAGTCCGGGACCCAAGACAGTTGCAGATCGTGATTGCGATAGAATCCAATGCCTGCTAGATGAAGAATGCGAGAGGGGTGCTCTTTTGATAGTAAATATTCGGCCGTCCTCAAGAATGGGCGCTCGATTGCCGAGTTGTAATCAGGCATGATGTCGCCAGTTTCCGCAGCCGCGCTGATTCCTTGTACCGCAAATATATTATCTCGAGCATCTGTAGCAGTTGAGTTGATACTGGATATCAGGAGATCAAAGAGCTGTGTGGAGTGGTTGGCCTGAATAATCTCGCGAAGACGGCCAAGTGACGCGATCTGTACTCCCGCATCCATGGGAAGCGGATCGAAGCTCCGCCAGTAGATTTTCGATATATGCCATACATGGTTCGGGTCACCGGTGAAGAGCGTTGTCATCAATGATGAAAAGTAGTCCCAGGTAATGAGTTCCCCTCCGTACGATATAATGACCTTTTTCGACACTGCAATCTCCTGAATGACCCAGCACCTAGCCCAATAGTCATGATTGACAAGCCGAGCTAGCGCAGTCCATCCAGGACTCTCAATGTTTAACTCCATGAGCGACATCGCTTGTCGTCTGTTGGTCTCGTCAGAGTCTATGCGACGACGAAGATGGGAGAGAAACCATACGGCGTCGTTGGCGTCAGACTCATGACCAAGCCATATAAGAGTGTGGTATGAAGATCCATATATCTTCCTCATTAACTGAACCTGGGAGCTCTTTTCCTCATTGTCTTGTTGATTGATACAAATCGAGTCTATCCATATATGCCTCGTCATAAGAAACGAGGCTCTGTCGTGCACGATTTGATAGACTCTTTCAGAGACGTCTAGTCTACCTCCATCAAGGATTAGCCCTTTCCGGGTTTGTTGACTGCCCCAGGTGTAAGAAATCGTTTCAAACTTTATTGCCTCATCTAAACGCACGTGGACCAGTTCGCATTTGACGGGGCTCCATGGCGTTGACTTGGAAAGTTTTAGCAGACGAATTTCTCCTGGAGCAAGAGCAGAATATATGTAAGACTTGAGCGTTGTGACATGTGCTGCCGTCTTCCCATCTGTGTAAGAAACCAAAGACGCACTGATTTTAACGAGGAATTGAAGACAATGTCGCACCGCCGTAGCAACAAGTCCTCCAGCCCTCCGAAGACCAGTCAAGATTTTGGGCCAGGTAAAATTCCAGATTCTGGTCACTTCACTGTTGAAAGTTTGTACGGGGTTATCGACCATGATCAGCCACATGATTCCAGGCACGCATATGAAGGACAAAATTTGTGACAAGACCGAAAAGGTCCAACAAGCGAAGCTCCAAATGGCTCCTGCATTGCGGAACAAGAACGACAGCAAAACGTAAAATGACAATTCAGACGCTTCGATAAAGAGTTTCGCAGTAAGATCATCGTCAGCATCATCGCGGCTGGCGAACCGTCGGAGGGTGAGGGCAGTCGTTCGCCATGACGTTTGTCCGAAGAAAAAGAGGTACATGTGAACGAGAATGAAAATTGTGTTCGCAGGAACGTAGTACCCATACAGCCCTATATTTGACAACACCGAGGCACAGACTTTGGAAAGTACGGTGTCTTTCAATGCAACAAAACCCGCTTTAAGACCGAGAGCGCCAATAACGATCAAGGTTCGTAGTTTTGGAGGAAGGGCCAGGAGTGCGGCGGCCAACTGATTTGGCGCTGCATTTGATGATGCCGACATTGTATTTTCGCTGGTGCTAAGATGTTTTGTAAAGTTGACTGTAGGGGCTCAAGCTGCCGCCCGAGATCATATTTATGGCCAACTATGCCAACATATCGATGTGAGCGGAGCTGAGTTCCAATATTCAGGTCTGGTTAGAAATGTATCACAAATGCGCCCATTCAGCGGGGCTGAGCTGACTTGCGACAGCCTCACCGATAAACTCCCAAAGGTAGAGTACGCAGTCAGCCTCGCGCATAATAATGAGAAATCTCATGCCGACCTTGCCGGTTTATTTGTACCAGACTCCTTCCGGAGCAGGCACGCCGGAGAGCCTGACCAGCAATAGCGGCAGGCAGACCACAGCAACATACACTGATCTCCACGGCTTTAACTCTTGTGAACGTATAGTCATTTTCCCTAACGAGTCAAAGGTTGCAGCCCGCCGCCACACTGAATAGTGGTCCCACCGTGTGCAACTTGCACGCAACGCGGGTGCCGCTCTTCGCAATATCGCTCTCTAGCTAGGCTGACAAACACTGCTTAATTACACCATACTCATTGAGAAACTATAATGGCGATGTGAATAGAGTTAGTAATGTGCTTTAATTTTTTTGGCAAACACAGTATAGAGAAAGGGGGGGGTGGAAGGGGGGGGAGACACAAACACAAAATATGGGGCGTGGCAGCGCCTACCCAAGACCAAAAATCGTCAGACAATTTCCCATTACACAAACTTCAGATTAAGCATAGAGAAGCTCGGCAGCTTAAACGGAGTGGCACAGATAGCTTGGTAATAAGTCGATACTGTCCACATGTTGCACTTTTACCTTTGGAGGAGAGTTTTGCTTTGAACACCACGAACGAACCTCAAACCCGTGGTTCTAAGTTGCGAGGAAGAAGCGAAATGATTAGCTGGAAAAGAAATTGAAGCTAGATTTAGACGCTGCCATTGGAGCAGATTCAGGGCATATTGACGGGAAGGACGAGCAGTAGCAGCAGAGATGCGTGCCATGGCTTTGAGCATGTCGAGGAATAATGTAGCAGCCGGAAATTAGACGCCAAGCTTGAGCAAGGAACTCACCAGCCACAATGGTTCCTGGCTCCTTCCCCTTGGCACCCAGGTGGAAGCCAGGTTGCCACGCTAGTGGCTGTTCACCGCCA